TCATACTTAGGACACATTTTCCGGAGAGAACAGTCGCTGGAGAAGGATGTCATGCTGGGTAAGGTGGAGGATCAGAGAAAAAGAGGAAGACCCCCAACGTGATGGATCAGCCAGGTGGCATCATTGATGGCGTCAAGTGTGGCGGCGGTAGTGAGGTTGGCCCAGGATCGGACATTGTTTCGTTCTGCTGTGCATGGGGTCGCTATGAGTCGGTTCCAACATTCATGGCTGCAGGAAGCCAAAAACCACTGTTCTGCATTTCCCCTCTTTTGATCAGGAATCTTCTATGGAATCTTTGATCAAAATGATCATTTAATGATGCCATCCAGGTCTTCTGGTCTCGTGGCAAAGGAGGCAGTTGTTCATGAGCAAAATTAGCCACTTGTTCCAAATCCTACTTAAAACCTTTCACTCTTCCTCTGTTGTTCCAGGTAAATAGAGACCAATTTTTTTATGATTGATGGCTGCTTACAAGCTTTTACGACCCCATCCACTACACAATGAATTAGGAGGTAGAACAGAAATACTAACCATGTTATTAGTCCAGTTAACTGGCATTTACTATGAAACCATGAACATAAACCTCCAAACCAAGGAACCAAATCCCACAGAGATTTTTGACTGTATATAAACATTCTCAGTAGCTACTCTTCCTCTCTGTATTTTCTTGCATATTTGTGATTATATTGTGATACTGTTTTTTAATTCTGTTTTTCATTTAACCTCCCAAGCAAAGGATATTGTTTTTGACAATATGAAGGTATTTCAAAAGTTCACAGAAAAATGTAATTAAAAGATAATGAAATTTGCCCCACAAACTATTAGTCTCATAATGCTATCGTTAGCTACTTTTACATTGTTCTATTTGTTTAGTTGTTCATTTAGTGGATAGAGAACCATTTATTTTAGTGTCTTTTGTCTAATTATGATTGCTAATGAGTGGGCTTTTTTGTTGTTGTTGTTAGCTATTTATAGTACCCCTGTTGTGACTTTTTATATCCTTATCTAGTTTACCCAATAGCATTTTACTGGTTTTCCTATTGTTTTGTACAAGCCTCTTAAATTTTTTTAAAGATAGGTTTTAGTTTGTCATTTATAATTATATATATATATATATATATATATATATATATATAACTTTTAATTCTTTGTTATTTAATTCCACCTGACTTTCTATAGATTGCTTTTTTGTTGTTGTTGTTAGGTGCCATCGAGTCAGTACTGACTCACTCATAGCGACCTTATGCACAGCAGAACAAAACACTTCCCGATCCTGGGCCAGCCTCACTATCATTGCCACACTTGAGCCCATTGATACTACCACTTTGCCAATCCATCTCGCTGGGGGTCTTCCTCTTTTTCTCTGACCCTCCACCCTACCAAACTTCTCTAGCTACTGGTCCCTCCTGACAACTGGTCCGAAGTGTGAGAGATGAAGTTTGACCATTTGGCCTCCAGGGAACACTCTGGCTGTACTTCTTCCAACACAGATCAGTGTGTTCTTTTGGCAGCCCATGGCACTTTCAGTATTCTCCTCAAATACCATAACTCAAAAGCATCCATTCTTCTACAGTCTTCCTTATTATTCACTGTCCAGCTTTTGCTTGAATATCAGGTTATTGAAATTACCATGGCTTAAGTCAAGTGCACCTTAGTCATCAAGCTGACATCTTTGCTCTTCAACACTTCAAAAAGGTCTTGTGCAGCAGATTTGCCTATTGCAATATGTTGTTTGATCTCTTGACTGCTGCTTCTGTGAGTGTCGATAGTTGATCCAAGAATAAAGTCCTTGACAACTTCAATCTTTTCTCCGTTGATAAGAATGTTGTTTACTGGTCCAGTGGGTGTGGATTTTTGTTTTCTTTACATTGAGATGCAATCCATACCGAAGGCTGTGCTCTTTGATCTTCATCAGTAAATATTTTAAGTCTTCTTCACTTTCAGCAAGCAAGGTTGTATCATCTGCATATCATAGATCGTTAATGAGTTTTCCTCCAATCCTGATGCCATGATTTTCTTCATGTAACCCATAGGTTGCTGTATCATTTTTAAATTTAGAAATTCTATTTTATGCTGTTAAATTAATGATAATTCATTAATTCTCCTAGAATTAATTTGCTGTGTAATATAAGGTAAAAGGTATATTTATTCATAATGATTAATAATTTGAATTCTTATATAGTTCTGTCATTTTAAGAATATAATTTTCAAGAGATTGCATTTTAAGAAAAACATAATCTTAAAGTTTTTTTTAGTTATTCCTGCAAGATGATGTGTTCTTAATTCATTGTAAAATTTAAGTCATCTTAGATGACTAAGAAACTAGAGTGGTAAAATAATTAATTTATATTTGACTTTAGCAAAGACATTTATTTTGTCACAGTCTGGAAGGCTAGAACTCCAAATCTAGAGCATGGACTTTGGAGAAGAGCCCTTGTCGCCAGCATGCAGGCCCAGCATTCCTTGGAAATCTCCTTGTGTCTTGGCATCAGTCTTTCCCTGGATCTAGGAGAGTCCAGTATAGGGACCCCAGGTCCAAAGGACACACTGTACACACTGCTTTTCTTTCTTGGTGTCCCCCAGTGACAAGATATTTTAGCAATGAAAAAATAACTTCTCATTTGACAAATCTAAACTTTCTCCTCAGAGTTCAGACTTTAGACACCATTTGTGATTAGTCTTGTGTTAAGTGAATGTGTTTGTATTGTCTAGAATATTATGGGGAAAAAATCTGCTTAAACATTGGGAAAATTCTAGACTATTTAGACAGCCCAGGATTTTGGAAAAGTCTTTTATTTTGGCGAGAGTCCTGGAGAGGAAGTGTCTGCATTTGCCACATTCTAGAAGCTTTCCCAAAGAGTCTCTGTAAGGCAGCCAAGAGAACAGTGTATTTCACTACTGTATGGTTCTGGAAGTGTGTAGATGTTTGTGGCAAATTTGAGGAAAAGATTTAGGATTACTTCCAGAATATCAGTTTTTGTGTTGATCTCATTTTATTGAAGTTCAAGTTAAGAGACAAGTAAGGTGAATTTTAAGTTTTTTTGGAGTAGGGAACTTTCCAGTGTGGGCTTGGGCCTGTTGGATTAGATGAAGGCACGTAGGAAACGTCAGAGGTATCTGCACTGCAAGGAACAGAGTGGTGTGTTGCTGGGGTAAACATAGTGCATGCTTGTGGTGGAGGAGGGGCACGCCATTTGGGGAAGCAAGGCAAACCTTTCTGCTGACGCACACGTCTGCCATGAAGAATCCATACTAGAAAAGACAACATTACTAGGGACGACAAGAAGAGGGGTACAAGGGCCTTGCCAATACGATAAAGAAAAACAAAAAAAAAGGCTGTTGTTACCTCGTGTCAAGTCACTTCTGACTCATAGCAAGGGTTTTTACACAGAACAGAGTAAGTAGATAAGACAAGACACTCAAGACTGAAAACTTTGGGTGGTTTCTTCTTTTTTTTTTTTCGGGGGCGTATTCTCTGCATTTTGAAACAAAACCACACAGCTTTATTGAGATAATGTTCACATACCATACAATTCACCCATTTTAATGTGTACAATTCAGTGGCTTGTAGTACATTCGGAGGGTTGCTCAGCCATTAATCAACACAGTCAGTCTTAGGGCACTTTCATTGCCTCAACAATAACCCCCCAAATCTACGATTTTCAGTTGAATTTGGTTAAAAATTTAAAGCCATATAAGGAAAAAAGACAGAATGGATTAGGAATCTTAAGAATTAATCCTAAAGCTCTGAAATCTATTTCCCTCCTACCTTTAAAACATAATTTAACATCTTTACAATGCACATTTTTATCATATTTAATTGAAGATATTTTAATTAGTGGTGCATTTTGAGGAGAAATTTTCTTTTTCAGGCTGTATGAAAGAGCCACACTACTATGGAATGCCCTCTAATTGGAATCGTGGTGGTGGTCATGTACTGTGGAGTCGCTTCCCACTCATAGCCACCCTGCACAGGGCTTCCCAGGCTGTAAATCTTTACGGGAGCAGAAAACCTCATTTTTCTCCCACAGAACAACTGGTAGTTTTGAACTGCTGACCTTGAGGTTAGCAGCCCGACTAGTAACCTCTAAGCTGCCTGAGTTCCTTCTAATTGCAGTAGTAATTAAGAAGAAAAATACTGCATTTTTAAGCACACATTCACAGGTGATAACAAATAAGTGCATTTTGCTCTGCTATGACAGTCCTGGTATGGCCCTGTAGCATAAGCATTGGACTGCTATCCACATGGTCAGTGGTTCAAACCCACCAACCTTGGAAACTCTATCCCGGGTCCTCTATGAGTCAAAATCGACTCAGTGGCTCTTAACAACAATGAAATATTCTGGTGTGGCACCTAAGGATAAGCAGTGGATGGCAGGGTTGGTTTGAATCGCAAGGTCTGCAGTTCCAGCCACTCCTTGGAAACCCTATACAGGGTTGCTGTGAGTTAAAACCCACTCCAAGGCACTAACAACAACAACAGCACCCTCTGTGAAAACTAAGATGTCAGTAGGCATAAACAAAGGAGTTCTGGTGTGGCACTGTGGGTTAGTGCGCTGGAATGCAAAGTTGATTTGAACTGCAAAGTCTGTGGTTCAAGCTCACCAATTGCTCCTTGGAAACACTATATAGGATCACTCTGAGGAAAAACTGACTTGAACGGCGCATAACAACAACAACGAGGCATAAACAAAAGTTATTATTAAATTATTAAATCAGTTTAAAAATTCTATGGGCACCCTTGATTTTAAGTGTCATTGGGTCGGTTCCAACTCATAGTGATTCTATGTAGGATTTCCGAGGAGTGCCTGGTGTGTTTGAACCACCAATCTTGTGGTTCAAACCGACCTTGAGGTTCACGGCATTATCCTGCAGTGCCATATCAGGGCTCTATGGGTACCCTTAGGGTCTCACTTATTTTGTTCACAGGAGGAATAGGTAAGCAACTTTTTCTACCACTCTTGTTTCTTTTTTTAGTAATAGTGACATTTCTCTTGTAGGTATGTTAGCCTGTAAAATTAAATCTTCCAAGATGATCTGGTATACTTTAATTGTTGGGATTTTACTTCCGCAGTCTCTGGCCCATCCAGGCTTTTTTACTTCTATTGGTAAGTCTTATTATTTTTTGATTTGTGTTGTTTTGCTTTAAAAAAAAATGTCATTTTTCAGTTATTTACATCATTAAAAACCATATAGTATATTTTCAGAGACGAAAGCTTTGCTTCAGCCCTTCCAAAAATTTTTTATTTTTTAAATCAAATTTTTATAATTTTTTAATTGTGAAAATATGTGAGAACTTAATAAAGTTTGTGGAAAAATTACATTGTCTTTTAATTCCATTTTTCCATGAACTTTTGGAAGCCCCTACAAGGTAGACATTGATGAAAGTTAGAAAAGAATCCAAAAGGAAATGATCCATAATGGGTCCATTCAAATGTAAGCATTGTAAATAATTTAATGCATGTAATTAGTCTTTTAAAAATGTACAGGTACTAATTAATATACTGCATATTATTTTATAAACCGGTTTTTTCCATTAAAATTTGTTCATAAGGTTCACAGCTTTGTTCAACATCAAAATTTAAAAAAAAGCTTTAAGAGTACAACAAAAATAACATAGTGGTTAAAGGGGGAAAAGTCAGAATTATATCAAAAGTAAAACCTCTCTGTGTTCTCAACCTTAAAGAAATAATCCTTATAATTTGACATGTATCCTCTTATATATTCTTGTATGCACACCAATAATTCATCTGTCTGAAATGAGGTGCTTTCCTCCCGCCAGTTGACTGGTTTTATCTTTGTGTAATTGTAGAGCTAATGAAACACAAGTCTCGTGTGTTTGACACTTAATTTCAGAATACAAAATGGTGTGTCTTGCCATTTCATTATAAAAAAACAAAACTGATGTTTGCAATTTTAGGTATGAAATACTTTTTTGCTGTTGTTTGATTTTGTTTATTGAATGAAATTTAGTTCGCATTTGACTCAAAAGCAGAATCATAAAAGATGAGGAAGTAGGAACATTTATTCTTGGAAAATAGTGTTTTGTAATTTATAAATAAATTAGCAGCTGAAAGGCAATTGATCAACATAGTCCAAGCCTTAAATATTAAAACTGATACTTAATTAGAAAATTTTTATCTGGTGAGAAAGAAAAAATAAAGCTCTTTTCCAACATACCTGATTCATCTCAACTAAATTCTCTGATAGAATGAAGCATCCTTCTTAAATTATTTCAAAATACTTGTGTTGATGAATACGCATGTTTGGTAACTTTCAGTAACTTTCTCTTCCTCTTCCCCTTCTAGGTCAGATGTCTGATTTAATCCACACTGAGAAAGATCTGGTGACCTCCCTGAAAGATTATATTAAGGCTGAAGAAAACAAGTTAGAACAAATAAAAAAGTATGCCGTGTTTTACTTAGGAAGCCTCTAACTTTACCTGAATGTTTTCTTTCTAGAACTAAAACATTTTTTTTGAGTGGAAATGAGAGTCACTGATGTTACAAAAAGGCGCTCTGGTAATGTAGTGGTTACGAATTGGGATGTGAACCGCAAGGTCAGCAGTTTGAAATTACCAGCTGTTCCGTGGGAGAAAGATGAGGCTTTTTGCTCCCATAAAGATTTACAGCCTCGGAAACCCTGTACAGGGTTGCTATGAGTTGGAACCAACTCCATGGCACATAACCACCATCAGTGTCACAGACTGAAATGGCTAAAATAGAAGCATAGAAAACAAGAGTTAGGCCTGGGCCAGAAGTTTATGTGAAACTGCATAGACCAAGTTGAGAATATGGAAGGGTCTGGGAGTTGACTGACAAGTTAAAAAAGTGGTTGCCAATATCTTCTGTCTGCTGTAACCTCAGCTAAACTATCTGCAGGAACGGTGTTTCCATTGTGTTTATCCTCCTTCACTTTTGTGGGTCCATTGTAGAGATTATGGTGTTAAGTGTGGTTGTTGTTGTGAAGTGCCGTTGAGTCGGTTCTGACCCATAGTGACCCTGTATAGGGTTCCAGAGGAGCAGCTGGTGAGCTTGAACCACTGATCTTGCAGTTCAAACAACTTTGCAGTCTGATGCATTAACCCACAGCGCCACACCAGGATTCATGTGGTTCTTAAGAGTTGGTTTACTTTGAATTGACTACTGATCTGAGAATTCCCGCCTTTTGATTAATGAGAGCCTCAGTATTCAGATGTTTGTTTTAAAATCGTATCTAGGTGTCAACTCTAGAATAAGTTTGATTTAAATGAAACTAACTGAATTTGGGTTGGATTAATTTGTATTTTGTAATAATCATTTATTTGGCCATAACGACTGATGAGGAAATAATTTTTAGGTTCTTACCAGGAAGAATCCAATAGTAACTTTTATTGTTACCATTTGTGAGAAATAAAACAAGAACAAAAAGATTGTAGTTGTATTTTGTTTTGATTATGCCATGTTAAATTTTATCCATGAGAGTCTTAGTTTTAAAAGAACCTTTATAATTTTATTTAAAAAAGAAATTATAGGTAAGAGTTTTAATTATAAACCTTTTAATTAGTCTTTTGTGTGTGTGTGTGAGTGTTTTATCAATGAATTTTTCGTTATTAAATGTGTATATACTCCTTGTATATGTCTTGAACACATAGGTGGGCAGAGAAGTTAGATCGGCTAACAAGCACAGCAACAAAAGATCCAGAGGGCTTTGTTGGACATCCTGTCAATGCATTCAAGTTAATGAAACGCCTGAACACTGAGTGGAGTGAGTTGGAGAATCTGGTCCTTAAAGATATGTCTGATGGTAAGTTAGAGGAAACTTTTGTTGTTAAGTGCCATTGAGTTAGTTCTGACCCATGGTGATCCGGTATAGGGTTTCCATGGAGCAGCTGGAACCAACTTTGCTGTCTAGAGCATTAACGTGCAGTGCCATATCAGGACTTGTATTGGTGGTGGTGGTTATGTGCTGTGGAGTCGGTTCCGATCCATAGCGACTCTGTATGGGGTTTCCGAGGCTGTAAATCTTTACGGGATCAGAAAGCCTCATCTTTCTCCTGCGGAACAGCTGGTAGTTTCAAACTGCTGACCTTGTGGTTCACAGCCCGATTCGTAACCACTATGTTACCAGAGCTCCTTACCAGAACTCGTAGAGGAGACTAAAGAGCCGCAAAAAATAAGGCGATATTGCTACCACGTGAGAAATGCAGAACCTAGTGATAAATTTCAATTCCCAGAAGGTCCAGTGTTAGTAACTGAAGTATTGGTTGGTTGTGTTTCCTTTAGGAACCTTAGTGGTTAGTGGCTAAAGCACTCAGATGCTAACTAAACAATCAGTGGTTTGAAGCCACAAGTTATTTTGAGCCTTTTGCTTCTGTGAAGATTTATAGCCGTGCTAACACTTGTGGGACAGTTCTGTCGTGGCCTGTATGTGGGGCTGCTGCCACGAGTCGGAATCTTCTCTATGATTACAGTGGGTTTTGTTTGGCTGCTTAATATAGGCAAGGATTTGGAATTCTAGGATTCTTTTTTTAAGTTTATTTCTGTTATTGGTGACTGTGCTTTCTGCTTTGAAATCTATAAAATTAATTAGCTTATTTGGCATATAGTTTCATTATATAGGTGATTGTTTCTATATAACCTTTCAGATGCTTAAATTTATGCATAGTATTTTAATCATTTTTCAATTAATTTTTAATGTGCTGTTATTGGTGGTGGTGATTGTAGTGTGTCATCAAGTCAGTTTTGACTCATAGGGATTCTGTACAGGGTTTCCGAGGCTGTAAATCTTTACGGGAGCAGAAAGCCTCATCTGTCTCCCACAGAGCAGTTGATGGATATGAACTGCTGACTGTGAGATTAGCAGCCCGACTCTACGCTACCAGAGCTCCTTAATGTGCTATTATAAGGAAAAGTGTCAGCTGTTTTCTCCTGAGTAGTTGAAGTATCGGCTTATTTAATGTAATTCAGTGGCCTCACTTAGGGACGTGCTAGGGATGCAGATTCATCATGTGTCGTTGTCAGAGGGCGTGACACTAAAAAACTTCTATAAAATTTTGGGGCAGTGTTTCAGCAGAAATTGATGATTTTTAATAAAAATGTTCCTGTCATTAGAAAATGTAAGCATTTTTTAAAGCCTAGTTTACATGTATCAGTAGAACTACACGGTTAGAACTATACTAATTTACTTCATGAACCTTCTAATGCACTTTGGTCAGGACTGTCACTAGTATCCAGTTACAAAGAAGCTTTGAATCATGTGCCTTTGTGCGCGCACACACACACACACACACACACACACACTGCAAGCACACACTGTTGCTTTTGTTGCTGCTGGTATATATATGTATATATATAGAAACTTTTTATTGTGAATTGAGGGAAGATTTAATAGCAGATCATCTGTTTTAAATTCAACAAATCATATACTTTGTTTCATTTCAATGATTGCAGTCCCCTCCTGTAACAACAGTTACCCAGCTTCCTCCCTGTGGTTCATATTTCCATTCTACCCACCTTCCCATCTTTCTCACCTTTGTCCTTAGGTCAGTGTTGCCCTTTTGATCTTGAATGGTTGGCCATTCTTTGGGGAGCATATGTTACTAGTGTTGTTATCCTCCCTGTATACCTATCGACTGTTTACTGCTGGGATTTTTATAGTTACTAATTTTGTCAAATTTTCTGGTGTTTTTTAGCTACAATCTTGTGGCAAATTGTATTTGTGAACCTATATCAATACGGTTTTTGAGAATGAAGTAGTAGTTAAAGGAAAAGAAGGAGAAAAATTTTAAAAAGGTTTCTGTTGAGTTACTGTTAATGTTGTATTTAATAATGCAGTTCAATGTAGAAAGATTTTATAAGTTTTGTTAGTATTCATATAATCTGAGAAATACTACATTGAAACAGTTGACAACTCTATTTATTACATTAGTCTATGATTTAAGTGGATAATAAACATTATTGAGTTTATTGTATTGTCTGGTACAAGAGGAGGCCCATCCATGAGGTAGAAGGTGTCACTATGGGCTACTGTACTGGGTGACACCAACCATAGTGATGTGACTGCATCGTGTATACAGAATATCAAAAATCAGACCAAAAACAGTACTAACGAGTAAGTTTTTCTACATGAAACAGTAAAATTCTACATGGAGTATTGAGATGTTTGAGGTATTAAGAGATAAAGAAAATGCTAATTTTTTAGCCTTCTTCCATCTGATTACTCATTTTTATTTGTACATTTCCATTAACATTGAAAGGCCTTGCCTTTTACTAATTATATTTAGTACATAGCAGAGGCTCAGATACTTGTTGGATGACTGAGGTTAGCTTTGAAAAAGGAGAGAGAAACCGTGAGTATACTGAGCTAACTCTGTTGTTGTTAGTTGCCATCAAGGTGATTCCAGCTGTATAGGGTTTCTGAGGAGCAACTGGTGGGTTTGAACCACCGACCTTCCAGTTAGCAATTGGTGTTTTTCTTATAGTACCACACCAGGACCGTAGAGATGAAGTAACTTTGAGAGTTTAGATTTTATTTACCATTATTAGTGTTATCTGAAAGTATAATTTGCTGCCAATAAATGTAATTTTATGATCCACTAAGAGATTCATTTCTCAAGTTTAGTAGAGGTATTTTTTTTCTTGCTATGTTTTTTAAAATAAAATTACTTGTACTTATAAAATACTTATAATTATAAAATGTAATTATTATGCTATAAAACTTATGCAGTGGAACTTTCATGGCATGGAAGAAAACTATTAAAAAATAGATTTTGAGACATTCTTGTGAAGTTCTAAAGCCCTTTCTTCTTTTCATTTGAAGGTTTTATTTCTAACCTAACCATTCAGAGACAATACTTCCCTAATGATGAAGATCAGGTAGGGGCAGCCAAAGCCTTATTGCGTCTCCAGGACACCTACAATTTGGATACAGATACCATCTCAAAGGGTAATCTTCCAGGTAAGAGGATTCTTCCAGCCTACAAAATACCTACTTGGCTACTTTGTTCAGTGTGTTTGAACAATCTTAATGTGAAAAAGGTCTTGTATTTAAAAATTTTACAGCCTTGAGGACAGTAGAAGTCCTTTCTGTAGGAAATGTTAGCTGTTACTGTGAAAACTTGTATTTTATAGGAACAAATGAAAGAAGACAAATAAGTGTGTAAGAAAAAAATTTTTTTTCTAAGTGTCTTCTTTTAAAACACAATGTTTGACTGCTTTATATATAAAGCTATAAGGAAATTGATAATCAAAGTTTATAGACACAGTACTAAAAACCCAAAATGTTCTGGGAATTGTCAACTATGTTTTTAAAAAGTGTTCTGCAGTGCGGAGTATCCTGCTTTCTGATTTTATTTTTTTGTAAAACTTTTTAAAATTGTAACTTATTTTATGATCGTTTTTTGCCATCTTTTACTTTTTCTATGATTCTATAGCATACTTAACAATAGTTTAGTACTATTAGTTTGTCCTGGTGTGGCGCTGAGGGTTAATGTGCTAGACTATAATGTTGGTTTGAACTGCAAGGTCCTCGGAAATCCTATACAGGGTCGCTATGAGTTGAAACTGACTCAACGGCGCTTATTGACAACAACAATCTTATCAAAGGGGAAATAAAATATGTAACCTCTAAAGGTCAAGGAAAATAGGGGAGGGAGAAAGGAAAAGGGATATGGGCAATGCATGTCATGCAGAGAGGTTGAGGTGCATGTATAAAAGTCAGAGAAAAGAGAACACATTGCATTTAGATAACTAGCAGGAGGTTTGTATGGTTTGATGTAGAATTCAAGGGCTGAGTGCATGACACGGGGTGGGATTTAGTTTTCTGACATTACTGAGTGCGCAGGCTAGAGAGGTAAGCCGAAGCCATTTCTTAACATACTTTACAAGTCACAGGGAGGAGTTTGAACAGGAAGGAGGCTGTTGTAAAACTTGAGAGATGATAGTGGTCTGAATTAGGGTTGTTATCAAGTCTGTTCCAACTCACTGTTTAGGGTTCCTGAGAGCCATTAGTGGGTTTGAATCACTTACCTTGTGGTTAGTAGTCTAGTGCTTGTCCTACAATTCCTGAAGTAGGGTAGCTGGTAGATATGGAGAGAAGTGGACAGACAAACTGTTGAGGAGGGGGAAGAGTGGAATTTGATGATGGTCTAGATACGGGTCTGCTTAAACAACTAACTACAGGTGGACTCTATTCTATAAGGCTGTTGAGTACAAGAAAAGAAGCAGGTTTGGTGTGTGGTGGTGGTGGTGGTTATGTGTTGTAGAGTCGGTTCTGACTCATAATGACCCTGTACAGGGTTTCTGAAGCTGTAAATCTTTACGGGAACAGAAAGCCTCATCTTTCTCCCACAG